TAATGGGCGGAAGGCAGAGGGAGAGAATCCCAAGCAGGCTCCACTCTGGCTCGATCTCACAACCCTGAGATCATGACCTGAGCCCAAAACAAGAGTCAGGTGCTTAACCGTCTGAGCCACCCAGGTGCCCTGAGAGAGAGAGAGACTCTTGAAAAGAACTTTCTGATAATTGCTCTTAAGTGAAATAGCACAGTCAAGATTGTAGGAGCACATGGGAGGAGGTCGATTCCAAAAGGAGGGGAAAGTAAGCTGGGAAGACTTCACAAAGGAAATGTTGTTGGATAGGGCCTTGAAAAATTGGGCCAGTGATGTGCCAGCTGGAAGGGAGAGTGGGAACAGATGGAGAGGAGACGTGGGTACAGGGAACAGGGTCATGGAGGCTTTGAATGCCAGTCCAGGCCATGGGCCTCAACTCTCCTGGTGGTAGTGCTCCCAGCTGTTTTTCCATAGCCCCATGGTGCAGGAACAGAATATTCTGGTGGGACACTGCTGGATTTTCAGGATGTACCTTTGAAATCTAAATGCAGGCTGGCTGAGAACTTAAACCTTGCCCTTCCCCTCTCCTCCCCCTTACTCAGTAAAGTCATAGATGGAGCACCCTTTCCTGCCCACCCCCCTCCCCAGTCCCGAGCAACCACTGCAGAGTCTGGAACCCCACAGCAAAGCCCCACCCCCAGTGACTCTCAGGGACCATCTCCGAGGGCCCCAAGTGCAGTCTACCCACCCAAAACCAGGTGCTCCAGAGCCTGGGGGGGAGCTCCTGTTACACACTTGCAGGGGTGGAGGTTGGGGTGAGGGAGAGCAGGAGGAACCCGGGCCCACATTCAGGAGGGCAGATCTAAGTCCTGGCTGTGCCCTGCTTCACTGAGTGACGGCGAGGTCCCCCTCATCCATGTCCCAGTGTCCTCATCTGTGTGGAGGGGACAGAAAATATGCTGTCCTTGTGAGGCCCTGTCACAACTGGGGAGATGCTGCTGCTTGGGGTTCCCGTGAAGAGCTGGAGCGTTGTCAGCAGGGGGAGTAAAAAATAAGGCCCAGAATAAGGAGCATTTGTATCCTTGGCATCATGTCCTTGAGGGTCCTATTCATGCCAAGATGGTTGTCCTTGTTCTGGGTGGTGTGTGGCCTCTGTCGTCTCTGAGAGCCATCGCAAGTCTGTGGCCCCTGGATGGTGTAGTGGGAGGGAGCAGTCTGTCTACACTCAGAGGGTCTGATCCCCAAAGGCCTCCGGAGAGAGGCAGGGCTTTGGCCTTCTGGAGCAATGCCATTGTAGGTAAAGAGAGGACACAGGATTCTGCCAGTCCCAGATGTCTTCACCCCACGTTACTTCACAGGAACTGTGGTCGAAAGTCGGTTCCAATTCTGACTGGGCCATGGACTGCTTATGTCACCTTTGGGCAGGTCTTTCTCCTTTTTGGGCCTCAGTTTCTCTGTATTAGTTGGGGGTAAGCTTGACAAGTTCTCATGGTCCCCAAACCCTGAGGTTCCTCTGCTCCACAGCAGTCTCTGCCTCAGGGGTCCCCCGTTCGCCTTCTCCTCCCTGTTTCCCTGTGCAGGTCACAGGCTGGCGTCATGGTGACAAGCCCATTGAGCGTTGCTAGGGATGACTGGAAGGAGGCAGCCCCGCACAATAGAGGCTGGAGCTGGGTGGTAGGCGCCTCCTCCCACTTGCACCAACCCTGGGGAGGCCAGCGATCTCACACAATGAGCTGGATTCCAATCACACCTCTTCCCTGTTTCATGGGCCCAGTGTGGGCTCCATTAAATGGCTCTGTGCCCCCTGACTCAGTTTCCCCACTGTCTACCCTAAGTATAGACATTTACCCCTGCCATGCCTACTCAGGGATGGAAAGGCATCATGAGTGAAAGGTCCTTTGGAAATAAGGAGCTGAGGGTTTTTGGAGGTCCAGCTGGACTGTTGGGGCCCTGAGAGCAGTGTCCGCACAACACTGAAGAAATGGAATAGAAGTTCCCTGCCTCTCATCCCAGATGTCATAAGCAGCTGGCCCTGGGGAGGCCCTTCCCAACCTGATGTTTGTGTTGATGATGGCAGACTTCCAGTCTCTCAACCCAACATTCCTTCTAGGTCAGGCTGGTTCAGAGCTTGGAGGAGCATCCCCAGCTGCCACCCCCACCACCAATGGGCTGTGATCAGATCAAGACAGGAAATGTTCCAGCTGGGCCCCCGAGCAGGCCAGCCCTCATCAGCTGCGCAGCATCCAAGCAATGCAGGGGTGTTGACTCTGGGAGAAGCGCCTTGTTTGGGAAGCTCAGGGGAGCTATGCTGTCAGGACCACGATGGTGGCGCATCTTCCCCAAATGGTGTCTTAACTGGAGGCAAAAAGCAACTTGTCATGCTCCGCAGCATCATTGCCTCGTCCGGGCAGTGGGGATTTTTCCCACAAAAGATAAGAAAGGTGACCAAGATGAAGGGCAAATATTTCCCAGAAGGCCTCAAGCCAGCCAGGAAGGTCATGGCCGTATCTGGAGTAGCCCCCTCCCACGGAAAGTCAGTAAGGGGGCTGAGGGTTGGGCGTCTGGCCCCTCAGGCATTTTCTGCCCCGGGGATCTGGACACGAAGTGGCTAAGACAACTGCAGATGGGGCGCAAGTTCCTGCATCTTCTAGAACACGGTGGCTGGGTGACCCCCAACATGTCATTGTCCCTCTTTGGGTCTCTCTAGACCAAATGAGGGAGAAGCTGCCTCCCCCTCTTACAGTCCCAGGAAGATGCCTACTGACTCCGTTTCCAGGTTGCTTTCCTGGGAACAGGGGAGGCTTTCTTGCCTGGAAGCGAGACCACGCCTGACTGCAGGTTTGCGGTTTTGGACTACAGCCCCTACACTGTGTGGGATTGTACTCTCGGTGGCAGCAGCTCTGACAGCGGTGCTCAGCCTCCCTGTGGCCTGTGTGGGAGACCCAGGTGCCTCCTGCAGGTGTGACTGTTTGGCATTTGCTGTGCAGCTTGGCAGAGCCTGGACGCCCGAGGTGGCAGACAAGAACAGTCCTGTCCCAAGGTGGGCTAGGAGCAGTGAGCAGTGGAACCCTCAGGGGGCTGGAGCAGCCATGGAAGCACCTGGAGGAGCTAGGGCTGAAGCTGGGCCTCGACGAGCAGCACAAATCAGTGTGATCTTCTTTCCTGGGCGGAATGCAGGGCTGGAGGGCTGTGTCGCAGGAGCTCTCCAAGGTGGCCCACCGGCTTTGGTGGGGAGTGGGGAGAGGTAGCATTCTGCTGTCCGCAGTGCTGAAAGTTCCTGTCCTGCACAGTGACCTCATTCCTTCAGTGAATAGTGCTTCTGGCCCCTTCCCATCTCCCTGCCAGCACCTCTTGCCCTAACTTCTTGTCATTGTTTTCCCAGACATCCAGTGACCATGTTGCTGCCCCTCCACCACTCACTCCCTGTGCCCCACCTGTCTCTTACACTCTCTCCTCCACAACTGCCACCCAAAAATGGTCCCTTGTGGTCCCTGTCTCCCATGCCTTGTCAGTTAGACCATCAGACATAGAAGGGCCAATGTAGGGAGCGCTTGGAAGTGATACAGGGATGTGTGGAGTTGTCACATAGCTTGACGGTAGTACTGGCGTTCGGCGGGTTGAAAAGTCCTACACAACAGATACCTTACCTACCTGAGATGCCAACAGCATCTTTGAGAAACGATGTACATCACTTTAACTGAGAGGAGACACTGAGGCCAAGAGGGCAGGGACTTAGCTAAGGTCACTTAGCCAGCCAGCCAGAGACAAATCTCCAGCCAGAAGAGCAGCCCGCCTCTTCTCGCAGCCAGGCTTCTGAACCACTTAGGTGACTGCCTGCACCAGGAACTCTCATCAGAAAGGGGTGAGCATCTGAAAGAGGGAAAGGCCACGGTAATGGGGCTTTTGACAGGCCAGGGGCACTTAGGGGAAGAGACCTGGCACACTGCAGGGAACGGGGACTAGGATTCCCAGGCCACAGAGCCCTGCAAGAGACGAGCCTGCTTGCATCCTCCAGACCCTAATGCCCCTGACAGACCACACCGCACACCATCAGCATCTATCTTCGGCAGGGGCACTTGGGTTGCTGTGGCAACAGGCACCCACCTCCCCGCATCCAGCCCTGCGATCCCAGTCTGGCCACCTGCCCTCAGACTTTCCGTGCCCATCCTCCCATGGTTCCCAGGTAGAGGGGGACTCCTCTGTCTTACTCTCTCCTGCCCAAAGCTGTGCTTGAGGGCACAGTGTCCTCATTAGCCAGCTTCCCGAAGAGCTGGGCCTGTCTTCCAGGCCTCTGGTACCTGGAGTCTGTCACCAGAACTACATCTCCAGGCACGACTGGGCCCCCAGAGGGAAGCTCCCTTCCACAACATCCCACATCTCAGACCCTGCTTTCCAAGGTGTTGGCACATCCGAGCTGGTTTGATGCAGCCCATATGTATGTGATGGCTAATTCCTGTGGGGGATCCGGAGACTCCCATAAGGTCTCTGCCTACCTGTCTGTCCCCAGGGAGTTTAAGTTCAGTAGCAAAGAAAAAAGGATCAGGTCCAAAAAGATGAAACCCGTAGTAAATTATGGCAAATGCTCTAAAATAGATTTTTGGTTTTCAAACTATGGGTCAGAGCACAATAGTGGATGGTGAAGTCAAATTAGTGAGTCATGACCAGCATTTGTATATAAAATAAATTAATTCATTAGAATAGAATAGGAAGAAAAATATCATAGCTGTGGTCAAGATGGATTTTGCTTTGTGAAACCGGCCTCACTAATGTAGGACGTGTGTGGGGTGGAAGTGGGGGTGTGGGTGGGTTTGTACTGGATTGTGACACCACATGGATGTGTTGGTGTGGCTCAGGGACAGTCAAATGTGAAGGCCTGTGTTTCAAGAGATGGCAAGGCCTAGAGGAGGCATTTGGAGGAAAAAAAGAAGAGATTGCTTAAATACCTGGAGTCCTGGGGAAGCCTGTGGGAGGAGATGGCGCTTGCACTATGGTTTAGAAGATAGGAAGGGGTTTGTCGGTGAGCCATGGGTGAGAGTGAGGAGGGTATTTCAAGGGGGGGGCGGTTCAGCATAGAGCTGGCTATGTGCCAGGCCTGTTAGGGCAAGTGTCAAGTGCCACATGGAGTGATGGCAGGAGAGGGGTGGATTCCAGAAAAAGAAAGCCGAGACAGAAGTAATAAAATTTGGTACCCCCCGAGGGGCACTGACATAAGGGACCAGAAAGGTCTCAGATTTGCAGCATCTCTACCCTGACTCCCTCCCATCCTCAAGCCCACCCCATGGTTAGTACCATCATGAGATATCATACTTTGGAAAGTATTCTGAGTTCCTGTCCTTGGTTAGCCCCACATCGATCAGTGAGACCAGACTCACACACCTAAACAACTCAGGCCAGGTTATGAGCAAGGGATGAAGTGTGAGGCTCAGACTATTAGGACTCGGGTGGGGTGGAGTGGGGGACTCAGGAGAGAGAAATCTGTGAGATGGGAGAAATCAAAGAGGCCTTCCTGGAGGAAGGGGTTTAGCACTGAACCTCAGGAAAGCTGGATAACATCTCTGAACACATCCCTAGAAGATAAATGTTCTGCCCTTTGAACCAGAGCCTGGATCTTCCCTCAGACAGGCTGTTGAGAGGGACCTTAAACCCCAATCAATAAGGGAGTGTTCATTTTACAAAAGGACCAGCCCTCCCCAGATACCTTTACGTGGGTCCTTTTGATTCACCCCACACTCTGTCCTTTAGTTCAGTAACATCACTAACCGTATGCATCAAATTCTCTTAACACACAACCTTTCTGTAGTAAAACAACCCTGAGGAAGGAGAAAACCCACGAGTGGATGTGGGTGCCACAGTGAGAGGCAAAGGGGCTGGGGTCCTCACTTTGGGGTCAGGATCGCCTGGACTCCCACCAGGGCCGGAGGGGGCAGCCACAGGCCAGTAATAGCCCGTAATCTGAAAAACCTCTGAGCTCAGAGCACCAAATTAAAAAACAATTAAGCTAATAGACTCTCCCCCATTGTTTCTGCTCCTCAGCAAGTGCTCCCTTAATAATCCCATTGCTTTGAACTCACTGTCAACTCAACAGAGGTGGGTTTTTTAGGTAACTTAATTATTTTAGAACTCACCGTTTTCCAGAAGCAATCTAAGTTTCCCCCTCCAGCTCTGTGACTCTGTGCTCCGGGAGCTATTTATTTTAACTAGCTCTGTAGTATATATCTAACAGCAACCCAAAAGAAAAACCCACAGACAACCCATTAGCCAGAGAGCAGAAAACCCCAGTACAAATCACCCCCAAACCACGGATCATTCAGAATTTGTAAGGAAGTGGGGGAGGTCACATTCACACTCATGGGGCAAAGCAGAGTCTGACAAAGGGCTCCGGAGTTCTCAGGTGGGAGGGGTTCCTCCTGGCTGGAGGTTAAGGGTGGGCTGCCTGGAGGTGGTGGCTTAGGAGCTAGGACTGACAGTCACACTGGGATTTCAAGAAAGGTAGGTATGAGCATTCTCTGATCATCCTGCATTCCCCGCGGGGGGGTAGCCTGCCCTTGTGGATGTCAGACATTGGTTCTCTGAAGTGTCTGGGCAGATTCCAGTCAGACACTGAGAGATCTCACACGGTGCTCTTGCAGGCAGCCGCAGCTCGAGATCGGCGACACACTCCCGTTTCCCCAAGTGTCCCTCATTCCTGTGTCCCACTGCGCGGTAGCGAGGGGTTAAGAACATGCAACCTGAAGCATGACCTCCTGGATTTGAATCCTGGCTCTACCCCTTCTCATTTTTATAGCTTTTGACAAGTAGGTTAACCTCTTTGTGCCTCAGTTTCCTCTTCTGCAAAATGGGTTACTATTACTCATGGGGTTGCTGGGAGGAATGAATGGACGAGTGTAGCTAAAGTGGTTGAAAGATAATCCGATCTGTGGTGAACGCCCACTCTGTGAAGGGTAGCTGGTATTAAAACAGAACTACTGCTGGGAAAAAGTACGGATCTCGTATGTATAAAGTGAGAGAAGATAGGCACCCGGGGGGCCCTGTCGGTGAAGTGGCTGCCTTCGGCTCAGGTCATGGTCCCAGGGACCTGGGATCGAGCCCCGCATCGGGCTCCCTGCTCAGTGGAGAGCCTGCTTCTCCCTCTGCCTGCTCCCCCTTCTTCTGCTCTCCTGCTCTCTCTCTGTCAAATAAACAAAATCTTCAAAAAATAATAATAAATAAATAAAAATAAATAAAATGAGAGAAGAATGGAAATTATTGGGTGTGCGGAAAGCAGCAAATCTTCAGCCACAACCCAGGGCTCCCAGTCAGGTTCAGTTCTGAACAAAATTAAAGAAAGTAGACAAGATGCTAGTCAAAAATTGTATCAAAAATGGGTTTTATCTTGCCTTTCAGCTGGTAAGCCTTTTGCACAATTTTCACCTAAATGACTTTCCCGTGAACTTTTAGATGTGTGTTGTGTTCCCTGGCCTAGAGAGGCTGAGAAGTATGAACCTTACCCTGTGGGCACCCGGGAGCCAGGGAGTGTTCTTGAGGAGGGGAGTGACCTGCCTCTTGGTGGTTGGCATCTTTTGTAGGGAATGCCTACCGAGAGTGCTTGGAGAATGGGACGTGGGCTTCACGGATCAACTACTCACAGTGTGAGCCCATTTTGGATGATAAGGTGAGTGGCCCCCACCTGCCCCACCTGCCCCCCCCCCCCCCCCCCCGTCCCTGTACAGCTATCAGGAGTCAGGTTGAGCAGAGAGCATCCCAAGGGTGACAGAACTGGTCCTTGTGCAGCCCAGCCACATATTTTTTCACTTCTTCCCCCTGCCTCCATGTCCTGTCCCCTGCTCAGTGACACTGTGGGAGAGAAGGGGGACACAGACCTTCGGGAGAGCCCTGGCTAGCAGAGAACACAACCATGTCTGGCATGTGACACAAGAAGGTGTCCCAACATCTAACAGGCTGTGTGACTTCCTTCCTCCTCCTCTGGGCCTCAGTTTCCCCATCTAGCATCTGATTCTATGGCTCCACCTGGAAACGAGCACAGCCTCCGGAAGGCTGGGCCCCACGGGAATCTGGGTCCCGCTCACACCTCAGCAGCCCCCTTGCTCTGGAACTGGGCTCCAGGCTTCGTGTGGTGCCAGCCTCCTCCCCTTTGAAGTTACGCCTCACTCCTGACCCAAAAGGACACATCCCACCTCCACCCCCCTCCTCATTCACCCATTACAGCCCCCAGCGAGGCTGCAACTTTCCCCAAGAAGTCCAGGTTCAGAGGAAAACCATTGAGCTACCCTGAGAAAGGGATGCTACAAAATGTGAGCCAGAAGGGGTCTGCAGTAGGGCCAGAGGAGTGGCAAGTGGGATGGGTCATAAAGAAGGAGGCTCCCGCCAGACCTCTGGCCTCACCTCTCCACCCGACAGCCTCTCTGAGCAGGGGCAAACCACGGTGGGCGGGGGGTCAGGGGATAGCCTGCCCTGGCAAGGAGTACTTTATCACTGCCTCTGTTTAGAATTGCCAGCAGGTGGTGACCATAAAAAGGAGGCTGGCTTTTATTTGGCATTAATATTGCTCTTAACTTCTCTACAGACATTGCGCCCCCTCATTGCTACATCCGCTACAGACTGATCCCAGGGCACCTTCCAGACTTCCCAGAGCTTGCTGCTTCTGAGGCAGGAGGGCAGGTTGGCTCCATTATACGGAGGTCAAAACTGAGGTCCAGAGACAGAAATCAGCTCACCCTCAGTCACTCAGCCAGCCAGGGTCTGAGCTGAGGTTAAACCCAGGTGTGGCAGCTCCCAGTCCGGAATTAAAAAGACAGGAAAATGTAGAGAGCCTCACCTCACCCAGGAGACGTTGTGTCCAAACCTGCCTCCAAACTGCATGTCAGGGGGTCTGACTGCAGCCCTTTGTCTCTACCAAGAGCTGCCCACAGCCAACAGGAGTGAGCACTGGGAGCCAGATGTGGTGATGACACTTGAAGCCACTTCTGCCTCCAAGGTCACGACACACAGGGTGGCCGTAGCTGGAGTGCCCAGCCCCTCCCTCCATGTGCTCCATGCCTCCGTCCGCCTGTGTGTCTGTCTGTCTGTCCAGCAGAGGAAGTACGACGTGCACTACCGCGTCGCCCTTGTTGTCAACTACCTGGGTCACTGCGTTTCTGTGGCCGCCCTCGTGGCCGCCTTCCTGCTTTTCCTGGCCCTGCGGTGAGTCATCCCCCCAACAAGGCCTGCTGCTTTTCCCTGCCCCTCCCCCACAGCACCCCCTTCACCCCTCCCACACGGTCTCGCCTCCACTCGGCAGGGTAGGGGGGCCCTGAAGCCAGTGGACAGAAGGGTCTGGGGGGGCTGCCAGGGCACTGACCGCTGGCAGGCATGCAGGATGCAAAGGGGGAGCTGGCTCAGAGAGATCCAGCTGTGGCCACCACGAAAGGGAATGTGGCTCGTGGTGCAGCCCTGCCTTCACCCGAGGCTGAGTCTCTTACCTGGCCGCGGGGTGGGGGCCCCAGTCCCAGCTGATTCCTGACCCCAGGCAGAGCCCGTCTCAGCTCGCTCCCGATCCTGCCTGACCCCTGACCTGGGCCTCCCACAGGAGTATCCGCTGTCTGCGGAACGTGATTCACTGGAATCTGATCACCACCTTTATCCTGCGCAATGTCATGTGGTTCCTGCTGCAGCTCATCGACCACGAAGTGCATGAGAGCAATGAGGTCACCGGGCCGAGGCTTGGGGCTGGGGGGCTCCGGGCTCTGGGGGCACCAACCTCTCTTGCCCAGTCCTCGGGTGTAGACCCGCATCTGAGCTCACCTCTCCCCCAGTCATTGTCCCTCCCGAGCTGGGCCCAGGGTCAGGCTGGGTAGGGGCGGGGCAGGGGCTGCTGCCAGGCCTGGGTCTCGGGAGCAGCACAAACAGCAAACCGGACTGGTTTAGCCTGTTCCACTCTCCATCTTCTGAATCCAGGACCTCCCAAAAACCCCTTAGAGAAGAAGAGGCTGGAACTAAGCTCCGTTGGGCTTTATCTCAATTCCAGTGACAGCCCTGTGGGGATTATTTTCCCCATTATACAGACATGGATACTGAGGCTCAGGGAGGTTAGGTGACACTGTAATGATGCCTCCACACCTAAGCCAGCAGGATCTTGACCAGGCCATCCCACGTGTTAGCTATCCACCCTAGAGCTGTGTCAACTGCTGTGGTACTATGTCCAAGTCACTGCAAAACCCAAGACTAACGAGGCCAAGCACAGAGTCCTGTGGCACACCATTAGAGACTTCTCAATACATTTTCTTTGGACGGTGGACCTGAGCAGATATCCAGTCTGGTTTGACCCTTAACTTGGCCCCCCATTAAGCCCTGCCTCAGCACTCACTGAGTCCAATCCAGTTTGGGGGCCCCTGCAGCCCCATATGCTTGAACTGATAAAAGGTCGCTTAACTTGGAAAAAAAGCAGGGTTGGAAGGAAGGGATCTTTAGCTTCCCACCTCAGCAGGCCCTTTTGAGAAGAGGAGACAGACAAACTCGTGGGGCCCGAGATCAGGGCTGGGACCCTGGGGGAAAGCCACGGAGGCAGAGACCAGCTGAGCACAGGACCAGCTGACAGCCGGAGCCGTCAGCGCTGGACAGAGAGGGGCTGCGCTGTCTCCGTGGGGCAGAGAACGCCCATCACAGGGCTCCCCCGACCACCGGCCCCCAGATCCCAACCTCGGCTCTGAGGGTGCCCTGGGGACGAAGCCTGGGGAGCAGTGGCCAGGTCAGGAGGCCTGAGAGCTGGCCAGGCCTGAGAGCGGCCTGGACAGGCTTTTTCTCTGCCCGCACCCCCATCTCCCCTCTGCAGGGTCCTTGGGAGGGTAGCTCTGTTCAAAGGGACAGGGACAAAGGCAAATGGCAACAATCCGCATTTCTTGGTGCCTGCCTTAGCCAGCCTGCATCTCTAGCCGCCCTGAAAGATGCCATTAGTAGTTTCTCATGTCGCAGTGGGGTTCAGAGGGGTATGGCAACCTGCCCCGGAGATGGTGAGCCTCCACCCAGAGCCAGCAGTGATCATCCTGAGCCCAGAATCTGCCCAAACCAGAGATTTGGGAGAGTCACCTCGATGGCTGCACCTCACCTGCATAACCCCTGCACTATTATTTATATAACAACTTGCTTTTAATTGACTCACTCCTTTTCTTCTGTGTGAAATTTCCCATTTCCCATGGAACACTTGCTGTGGATCGAAGGTGACTCTCAAAAAACCGACCATGAAAACACAACAGTGTTGTTCAGTCCTAGCCTCTGCCCGGAGAAAGCTCAGGGCCAGCCTCCCTCTTTCTTTACGAAAAAGGGAGATTAGAAAGGGCTGGGGGAGAAGCCAAAGAAGGGACCGGTGCAGGCTGGCGCCTTAACTTCATCCCAAACAGCAAGAGAGAATTGGGTGGAGCATGAAGCTTCCCAGAGTGAGATTGGAGGGTCTTGAATGCATGTCCGCAAGGCGACTCCTGGCGGGTGCCCATGCCGCGCACCGGGACCCTGGCCCCAGGCAGCCCCTGACCGCCCCTGCCCCGTGCAGGTCTGGTGCTGCTGCGTCACCACCATCTTCAACTACTTCGTGGTGACCAACTTCTTCTGGATGTTCGTCGAGGGCTGCTACCTGCACACGGCCATCGTCATGACCTACTCCACCGAGCACCTGCGCAAGCGGCTCTTCCTCTTCATCGGATGGTGTGAGGGTCCCTGGGGGCCGCGGGGCCTAGTGGGGAGCGGGCAGTGCCGACGAGGTCACCTCCCTTCATCTTGGGTCCAAGGACAGGTGCACAGCCCTGCCTACCGTCCCCAGGACAGGCCGGGGATGCAGCCCCTCCCTTCCATTGCTGGTGAGGAAGAAGCAAGCGGTCCCTCCAACAGCACATTTTACAAACAGCCCTCCTCTCCTTGCCTGGGAAGACCAATCCAAAGATCTTTGTCTCTGGTTTCAAAAGACAAGCTGGCCAGCTCCACTTCTCTATCAAACAATCTCAGAAAATCATGCTGTCGCCTCATCTGTCTGACCCGCTTAGAGAGGGTTGCTGAGAGAGGGGGAAGGGGGGCTCAGGATGGGGCCACGGATGACCTGCAGTTGGATGATTGGTCCCAGGCCCCTTGTGGTCCCCTCACCGTGTTCTACAAGAGGGCCCTCGACCATCTGTCTGTCCACTGTAGCCTGTGTCTGTCCTTCTTTCAGGCATCCCCTGCCCCATCATCGTTGCCTGGGCCATTGGCAAACTCTACTATGAAAATGAACAGTAAGTAGGACCGGCCGCCTGCAGGGGTCAGAAGGGTGTCAGGAAAGGTCAGGCAAGGGCTCCAGCCAGGCCATTGGGCAGGAATTGAAGTCCTACCAGGACAGATTTACTTTCCCATTGTCCCTATATTGAGAAAATATGCCTGGCACCCAGAGATACTCGTGTGGTAGGTGTCATGGGTTAGGAATCATGGGTCATTTAAGTGCCCTAATGCATGACCCCTTTGGCCTTCGGTAAGGCCTCCTTGGAGTGGCAAGTGTGGCCCAGGGTACATAGAGGAGGTCAAGTGCTGGAGGCTGTCAGCCTAGAGCCCATCCAAGGCTGTGTCAATGGGCCTTTCACAGAGCCCTGGGCCAGAGAAGTGGGTACTTGTTTTATTCTGGCGTCGCAGTCCCTGCCTGGGGTACATTGTCGCATCCTGCCACCCTCCCTGCACCAGAGATGTTGATATCTAAGCCACATCCAGATGATGGCAATTCTGGCCATGGCTCAGCCAAGCAGTAGCTGGGAAGCTGGGTGCCCCAATTTAAAGGGAATGTCAGTTTCTGGATACAAATCTCCAAGGGGTCTCTGAGGCTGGAGAGAGCGGGTAAGATTTGGGGGCAGGGGCAGAACTGGGGTGCCGTGAAAGGTAGTGAGCTTCCTGTCAAAGGGGGTGTTCAAGCAAAGACCAGAAACCCCAGCGCTGGGAGGCGGTGCCAGGGGAGATTCCTGTCTAAGGCAGTGTGCACTGGATGACCTCTTCAGTTTCGGAGGACACAGTCAGAATTTCCCAAAGTCCATGTGGCCCTTCCTGAGGTCTAACAGGAGTGGTTGACAGGGCCAGACTGCATCCTGGCCCCACCCTTCCCCTGGACTCTGAAGCTTCTGCACCCACCAGCATCCCCAGAGAATAACCAAGCCTCTGGTAGCAGCAGGCTCCCTTCACTGGGTGAATGAGGCTCAGCTCAGAGAAAGGCCGGGGTTCAGGGCTGGAGAAGGCCTCTACATCTGCTGCTTTGTGCGGTTGAGTGCCTGGCATGTGGAGTGGCAGGTTCCGAGCAATGCAGGAACAGGTGCTACAGGGTGCTTGGGCCCTGCGCCAGCAAGGGGGAGCCCAGCTCTCCATTCGTGAGCCTCCTGCCTGCCCAGCCCTGGGTGCCACAGTCTGGAATAGGGTAGGCCAGTGAGGAGGATGGGGGGAGACCCAGGACCTGCCCTCAGTCCAGCTGGGGAGACCAGACCCTCCATGGAGGGCAAAAGGCAGTCCAGGGGTGAGCTTGGGTGGTCAGAGGGGCCAGAGCTGTCCACCCAGGCATTTTGGGAAGGCACAGCCCTAGAGATTGGGTCTCAGGAAGGGTCAAGCCAGAGAACCCTGGGCCCAAGTGTACTGTGGTGGCCAGACCGTGGCTCAGCAGGCCACTCACAACCACCCCATCTTTGCAGGTGCTGGTTTGGCAAGGAGCCTGGCGACCTGGTGGACTATATTTACCAAGGCCCCATCATCCTTGTGCTCCTGGTAGGTCCTCAGTGGGGACCCGGATAGGGCTGGGCACCGGGAGGATGCAGAGGACCCACCCAGCAGAGATGCTGGGGAAGAATGTGGCCCCTTGCACATCCTCTGCACACACCCCCCCACTCCTTGGCATCCCCCTCCCACTATCCTTACTCCATGCTCCATGCCCTGGTGCGGCCCCTTCACCTCTGGCCCTCAGGTTCTTCCTCTGGGCAGAGAACGGGTCTGACTGGCAGATTTCTAGTGCCTCCCACATCTGACATCCCCTTGCCAGGTACTGAGACAGCCAGGCGACGGGGCCGCTGATGGCAAGAAAAGGGTGTGTGGACTTCTATTCAGCCCAGACCTACATCCCCCTCTGCCTCCAGCGACCCCCTCTGAGGCCCAGCCCACCGCCCCCAGCCTGGAGCGGTGGTACCAGAATGAAGCCTGATGAGCAATTGTTCCTTGTCCAGCTCCCCACCCTTTGCCAAATGTATTCGCATTTAAGGAATAATTGCCACAACGTCTTTAATCCACAATGAGCTTTAATTAAGGTAGAGTTAAAGTAGAGGCTGCATTTGGCAAAAATGAACCCATTATACATCATACATTTTAAAAAAGAGACATGCAAAAAAGCCCCATAAGAAATTGGCATTTACATAAGACTTATTTCAGGCTTGGTAATTTCAGTCTCCTATATGCACCAGCTTCCTTAAAGGGCCACCTGCTCCTTGTGGGATACATAGGAGAGAGAGAGAGAGAGAGAGAG